CCTCATGGAATACCACTTTAAAATGGACCAGCACATGTAAATGCAAAGTGCTGGAGATGGAAAACATCATCGGTATTTTTGGAGATGGTGTTTATCCTGGTGTATTAAGTGTTCACGTGGGTGGACATGAATTGGTCAACTTCGACACTACAGTGAAGGGCTTAGAGGAATTCAAGAAAGCTCTAAAAATTGAAATTGATGCCCTTGAGGAAAGTAGAAGGAAGGACTGGTGCTACGGACACAACGCCTTGTTTGCTCTACAGAGGAAACTGGCTCCATCGAATAGCACCTTTTAATCCAAGTCATGAATCAATTTAAAGCATAAATTTTTGTTCTTTTTGTTAACCCTAATGAGTCATTCTCTCTAATATTATTTCATACTTTTTGCTTGCTTACTTCAATAAAAATCCATTCATTCACAAATTGTCATATGTGTGTTTCGAAGGGAAATGTGGAGGGTTTAGAGTGTGACAAGACTATTGTTCATAACATCTTTAGTGAATATACAAACGTTCCTAATTGATCTGAATGGTCAATTGGTTTGGAGTCTTCCTCAATAGACTTCCTTTATTTCTCAATAAGGGCTTCATGAAATTAAGGTGTCAATTAGTCTCTAATTTATAGTTGAAATGTTGATTAAATGGGGTGCGTGATAGACTTACCTCCACGTGGTGCACCCTGGGCAACGTATACTCATACGGCAAAAAAGTCTATTAACTGGCGATTGACTTCTGACGCAGTACTCATCCTACCTTTTCTCTGCCTTCATGTCTGTCTCTTTACATCTTTAAATCACTCTTCTGTTCCCCACCCCTCAATTTTCTGTTACTTTGATGTTCCTCCCCCCTGTGAAGTCCGAAGTCAGCTAAAGGGCCATTTGAAATAAATAAATAAATAAATGTTGATTAAATTAGCAAGTCCCTGTCTAACATATGAGTTAATACCGAACGGGAATTGCCATGACTAAATGAAATGTGGCCTATTCTACTTTTTCTACGCCACTCACACACACATTTCACAAGAATCCATAACTCGACATCGATTTCCCTTTCCCACTAAACACTTGATTCACATCCTGCTTGAGCGTCCGAGGCAGATCACTGTAAGGAACTTCCTATACTTCCACATTTTAGTAACCGAAAACGCAATAAATGTTCACTTTCAGTGTGGCATTCTGGTACCGAATTTTCCAACAGCTTAGCCTATGTTGAAGCACTTGTGTGACGATGCTTTGAGAATTACACTTTTCTTCCAGCACTTGAGTACTCATTTTCGTCGTCTACTCTTTCGACGCAATATCATCTGCCGTGATGTGTTCTGGACGATCGTCAGTTTGTTACCACCCACTTTACGATAGACAATGGTGGGCGAACCGTAAGTTGGAAGAGGAAAGGTGAAAATGTGCAGCTGTAGAGGTGGAGTTATAATTGAAAGTACTCGTGATCGTAGAAGATGCCTGAACACCACTACATGCTTTTCGGCCTCCATGATGTTCAGGCTTATATTATCATTCACTGGATAACCAGGGCATGTTGGAGCACTAACTCAATGAATCGCCTGTTCATTGAGGTGAAGTCATGACTGTTGTAGTTACCGACCAAATCCGTCTTGTGTATATGAAGGGTGCTCAGTTACATTTTAAATAAGTCCTTCACACACGCACACCCCTGATTCAAGGCAAGCATTTCAACTTCATGTGAAGAAGGAAATATTTGTGTTCGTCGTTAATCCAGATCTTTCACTCTCGATTGTGTAAATATTGGCACTTAGGTGCTCGTGTCAATTGGATAAGATATGGCGACTTCCTTCATTCTGTCTTAAGGTGCAACGAGTGTTTCTGAGACGGTGTTATAAGGTGGAAATCATTTATGTTTTCATAAGTGCTTATGTCTGAAAACGAATATTAACTGCAGTTATAAATGGAAATAGCACATTTGGTTACCTTAGCAACTTTAAATTAGACATACGCGAGTGGAACTGCTTGTAGTCCACATAACTTAGGGTTGAAGGTTGACATAATCCCGAACAAACTGATTAATTGACCAGAGTTCGTTAAGCTCATATGTTGATGAAATAGATGGAATGGGGAGTTACATTGATTGGTAATTTAAGTGGTAAAATGCATAAGGCCTTAATTTTTGAGTCCGTGGAATAAGATGGATAATCGAGTAGGTAACCACCTGATGTAAAAGAATTCCTCATCTCGAGACAAGTTTAACAATATGTTGAGTGACGATTAATCAGTACAATAGACTTGATTTTTGTACATTCAGGAGTGTGCGATAGGTTTACCTCCGTGTGTTGCACAATGGACAACGTATCTTCGTACGGCAAAAAAATCTATCACTTGGCATTTGATTTGACTTCTATTTATTATGATCAGCTTGAAACAATGCTATAAGAGAAATAGCCCTAGTCAGGGCGATTAACAACGTCTTAAGATCCTCCAGTGGAATGCTGGAGGGATGTCACAGGACGAAAAGAACCAAGTCCAGAAAATTCTACAGACCTATGATGTTGACATTTTCCCAATTATGGAAGCAAAACTTTCGGATGACAAAATGAAGTACCACCAATTCCCAGGTTACACCATGTACAATCTACCTAAATACCGGCAAGTTGCAAGTGGAATTCTGGCTGAAGTAAGAGATGGCCTCACCTCACATTACGATCTAATCAAGAGTATGGGCTCGACACAAGACATATGCGAAATAATCAGATTAAATGTTTGGAAATGTCAAAACCAATTCAAGATATATGCATTTTATAATCCACCCCAGAATTGTCCCAACTTTGACATTCTCTGTAATCCACCCCAGAATTGTCCCAACTTTGACTATCTGAACCCCACCCCAGAATTGTCCAAACTTTGACTTCCTGAACATCTCCCCCCAGAATTGTCCCAACTTTGATTTTCTGAACATCTCACCTATAATCCATCCCAGAATTGTCCCAACTTTGACTTTCTGAACATCTCACTAACCAGAATTGTCCCAACTTTGACTTTCTGAACAACTCACACATGTCAAAACCGCATTCAAGATATATGCAGTCTATAACCCACCCCAGAATTGTCCAAACTTTGACTTCCTGAACATCTCAACCCCAGAATTGTCCACTTTGACTTTCTGAACATCTCACACAAAACCATAGTATTAATTCTGAACATCTTACACAAAACTATAGTATTAGGAGACTTAATCTATAATCCACCTCAGAATTGTCCCAACTTTGACTTTCTTGTAATCCACCCCAGAATTGTCCCAACTTTGACTATCTGAACCCCACCCCAGAATTGTCCAAACTTTGACTTCCTGAACATCTCCCCCCAGAATTGTCCCAACTTTGATTTTCTGAACATCTCACCTATAATCCACCCCAGAATTGTCCCAACTTTGATTTTCTGAACATCTCACATAAAACTGTAATACTAGTTGACTTCAACGCCCATTCCACCAGATGGGGCCATAAGAATGCAAACATTGCTGGAAAGAAAATCGAAGACATGCTAAACGGCAACCCTCTGGAACTTATTTACAGCAATGAGGATCTGGCTACATATTTGCACTACAATGGAACCAGAACAATTCCTGATTTACTCTTGGCTTCAAGCGACATCAGTGAGCATACTCGCCGCAAAATAATTGACGATCCTGGTTCTGGTCACAAACCAGTCATTGCTAGTATTACCATCGGCAGCAAATGCATGACATGGAAAGTGCCAACTAAGCTATCGTGGAACTTCAAGAAGGCTGACTGGCCTAGATTCAAAAACCTTTTAGAGAATGAACTTCAGATAAGTCCCCTCAACTTCAACCAACATCCTGACAAACTTTGCAATGATATCACGAATATTATGATCAGATGTGCAGAGAAATATATTCCCCGAGGCAAGACTAAACACTATCGAGTGTTTTGGTCTGAACACCTTGAGGAACTGAAAAGAAAGCGGGACGACCTTCGCAACACTGCTGATCAGACTGGAAGAACGGAAGACGTACAAGCCTGGAGACGTAAGTCAGCTGTCCTAAGTCAAGCCATCTTACAAGCTAAACGGACTTCCTTCGACAAGTTCTTCTCAAATATCAGCTATCAAAGTGATTGCCAACGCACTTTCAAACTCCTGGGTAACCTCCAAAACAACAGGGAAAAACCCAAGAAAGAACCAATACGTTTAAAAAACAGACTTTGCGAGGTTCTATTCCCACAAGCAACTTGGAATGTGTTCGTACCTACGTGTATACAAGATGCTTGGAATGCTTTTGACAGTCTCAATAGGGAAAAGAAATGTGGTTGATAAGAGCGAAATTTGACAGACATAAGGGAACTTCAATGGACGATGAAATTGCGCTATTCAACTGGTTTACCATAACTTAATTCACTTACTGTAGGTTTTTTGCTTTGCGGTGCCCATTAAAGCAACTCTTTTCTGAACTTATGTTTTTGTTCTGTCAATCTCTACTGGACTGAATGTTGATAAATTCCAGACTAAATTATAGTTAATTCTTGATGCTCGAAAGCTACTTAGTCAGCTTTACATTTTCGTTAATTCACATTCGTTGCAATTTATAGCGCATGATCATAGGGATTTCTAGTAAGGTTAGTTTCTGGGATAGTGAATAGAGTCAAAATAAATAAAGATGAATATGGCAGTTAACGCAATCTAAGTCTCAAACATCATGACTTTAGAAAACGGCTAACACAAATACCGGGATTTTTTGAAAGTTCGCCCATGGTGGTTAAACGGAAAATTACATTTAATGAAGTTATTTTTAGAACCAAATAGCCAACCATCCGAACAATTGTCCTTGAGCGGTTATTTTGAGTAAGAAGGTAAAATGTAGCCTTTATTTGGGACTGAAGCACCAATCGCCCCATACCGAATGAATCACTCCGAAAGCGCAATACGAGCGCTAGTAAAATATTTTACTTCTGTATTATCGCCCATGGGCGCTTAATCGGGTGGACAGTTATTTGGTTTTAAAAATAGTTCCAAGCAATTCCATTTTCCGCTTAACCGACCTGTACAGACTTTCGGAAATCCCCAGTATAAGGAATAATTTTCGCTCACTGAAAGAGTTTAAGAAGATTGGCATGGCATTGTTCACAACTCGTAGACGAAATTAGGAATGTTCTTCCAGAAGTGGTCTATTGTATTCCCACTTTCTGGCAATAAGTGTTCTATGACTTAAAGAAACCCCATAGTAGCAAATCATCAGACCCAGCAGGGCTATAAAGCTTAAGGAACCCGGTTAATCGTGCTCTGTTGTTAAGTAAAAGTGGAATGTCATTCCACATTAGCATATAGGAGTAGATCTGAATTAAAAAGAATCACATTGCGTTTCTTCCAAATGATTTCGAGGGTTATTATTCAAATATAAGTCGGGTCACGATTATTTGCCAATATATTCTCCAAGAAATTCAGGCACATATTGCATGCTTCGGTATGCCAACGCTTGAATAATCGAAAATCATGTTTAAGATTTTGGCGTTCACTGCATTATTAGAGTACGGCAAAGTTTATAACAGATTACATTTATTCCTGCTCTACATGCATTCATGCCCATATCTAAATCCTTTCATCGAGTCTCCAATTTCTGTTCCGTGGCGTTTGATGCTTTGCCTATAATTTGGCAACTTTGATAGTTGAGATGTGAAAAGAAATCGACCAAAGGCCTCTTTTCAACTTTTTTTCACTTCAAGAAGAAAATGCAAACAACTACACCCCCATGACCAGCCAACATCAAAATGAAAACTTGCAACTTGGTCGATGGGAATGAAAATCTGATTTTAAAACGAAAGTATATAACTGAATAGTGAATAAAATTGTTGCTCCTTTGTTCTTGCTGTACCGTCTGATATCTGGGTTAAGGTGTGGGATCTTCCGCTTCACCACACTAAGAAGAAGCCTTATAAACTTCTCACAAATAAAATTCCCCAGAAAACTAACTTTTTTAAATCAGAGTCCACAGTGTCTATTTCAAGAAAACCAAGTCACCATCTTAGCCGCTTCAACGTTTGCCCAATCTGACATCAGCACCCTTATGGCTTCAGAGATATTTTCTTGTGGAAACTAATCTAATATAGAAGAAGACGCAACACAGACGAGAAGTGAGTAGCCAACACAGTCTGCAAAGAAAAAGATGGAGAAACATGCATTGATATTTGAAAATTAAAACAAGGGAATCAAAGTTTAAAATGTGATATTTATCTGTTTAAAAAACCTGCCTTCAAGGCCTTCCAAATCATCACACCTTGCAACAGTTGAGTCCCAATAAAATCAGCACAGGCTCCTGAAGCGAACAGACTAAACGTTTCGAAAATTACCGAATCCTCATTCTTGTGATATCACCTATACAAATGGGACAGTTTCAGAGAAAAACAGCATGCTACAGTGATTGATTTAACTGCGTCGGTAATAGGAAAAAATCTCTAACGTCAGAAAAGTTGACTAATTACCTCCGTCTACAGATCTGAGGGTAGTCAAACTTGTTAAAATTTCCAATAGTGGTTCAGATATCCTAAGTAGAGCCTAACAGGATACTCTCAAAGTTGAGAGTATCATTATGACAATATATGTATTCTAGAGACTGTGCTGTCAGCAGAAGAATGAAGTTAGTTTAACTTAAAACCCCATGGTAGGTATCGTTTTTTATCATTGGACAGCATAATAATGACAACAACAAAATATACAGATTTACGAGGTTCTACACTTCGCTTTCTCACCACGAGAGGCCATCGTGATAGCAGTCAACTTACCGATTGCGTGATCCATGGTTACTATTCCTGCACAGTAACACAGTGAAATTATTAGGGGGGGGGGGGGCGGTTGAATAATGTGCCGTTCAGCCTAAAAATAACAATCAGATCTAGGTCCAAGTCGCAATATTGTTGGCATTTGAAAACGTTGAGAAAGTCTATCAACATCTGCTCAACGAATTATCATCGATATACGAACAAGTTTCCGGCGAAACAGGCATATGATAACATGCTTATTTGCAAAAGAACTGCCGTAAAATTTACGCTATTCAAACCAGGAGGTACAATTGCGCAGAAAATGGGGAGGAGGAGGGGAACCAATACATTAATTGCGGCAAAACACCAAAATATAAAAGAAACACCAATCACAAAGGAAAGGCAATAACTCAGAAGCGTAGAAAAAGTTTACTGTTTATTGAAGAACTTATTTATTTATCTATATCCAATGGCAGGCGTTTTGATAGTCATCATTAGCCCTTTAGTTGACTTCAGGCTTCACAGAAGAGAAAGAACATCAAAGTGAAAAAATTCGAGGTGGAGGGATAGAAGAGTGTTTCAAAGATGTAAAAGAGACAGACAAAAAGCTAGAACAAAGGTGAGGTGAGTACTATGAAAGTAGTCGAATTTGACATACAGTGGGGTGACGGTAGTTTGGAGTCAGAAGACAACTGCTGGTTAATTGACTTTCTTGCCGTATGAGTATACGTTGCCCAGGGTGCACCACGTGGAGGTAAGTCTATCGCACACCTCTTATTGAAGAACTATGATTTGATAATAATGTTAAAGTACACAGATCATTGAATAAAACAACCTCATTGATGCTGGACTTGTAAGAGTGAAGGGAAAACAGTGGGTAAAGGTTATTCGAGTAAAAAAAATAATTCGGGGGTTAACGAGTCAAATTAGCGCGATACGGCTGAGCTGAAGTATCTCCAGAACACTGAGTATAGTATCAAGAGCATACACTAAACACTACAAACACCTTTCTTAAGTGCTTTTAAAGAAGAGCCTTTGCTTTTTAACCAACTTGTTTTGAGAGAGATTTGCTCCTACCAAAGCCACCTGAAATGGAGGCTGAAAGGCCTTAAAAAACCGAATTTGTCGTTAATCTGTTGTATCAAAGCAGTAGAGACTCTGTGTTATACATTTATGAGCATTCCAGTAACGTCCGCTATGAAGATATAGATTAATCTGCGCGATTTTGTGCCAAAGAGAAGACCAACACGTAGTGAGTAACTATCCTAAACATCAGAATTATAAAAAGTAAATTCGTTCATATACCTGAGATCTCAACTTTGCGTAGTTAGGGGAGTGAAAATGCAGTCAACTACAGCGACTGCTGAACCAAACATCAACTCGCATAGCTCCAATCCATTTTAGAATGCACTCAATAAAAAACCCGACTGACAATGATTTTCACAATACTGCTGGTTTTGTCTGATCACAACTTGCTAAAATAATGGGGCTGTGACTTGCGCTCTCTTAGAGCCATGCCATACGAGTTGTTTGCGTGGTCACCTCTGAGAAATTCAACAACCAACCTTCCACGACGCAATCTTTGAGCTGAAACTACTATAGGTTATCACAGGATTAATCGAAAGAACTACTTACTCCACCTGCCTTAGCTTGATGAGGAATCAGAAGAGCCGGTTGTTGAAGTGATCGCATGTACTATCTTAAAGGCCGGGAGGTAGTTGGAAAGGCTCAGATCAGATCTAAGACTGAATTCAAATTCGATCAGGACTCCTGAAAATCACCTTACCTCTCTCTCTCTCTAACTCATTACTTAATATGGGTTTTCCAATACTGACTTTTATAAGGCGGATCATGGTAAAATAGATGAACTATCTGAATGATTTGGCAACAAGAAAATAAGCTGTAAATCCCTCCCTGAGATATACTGTTGTGTAACTATGGAGATTTCTTAACGGTATTTTGCAAGTAAGGTGAAAATATTCAATGCTCTCTCAATAACCGAGTCACTACCCTTCCTCTTTCTGCCTCGTTTTAAACTGCTCTCTATGCCATCCATGATTTACTTACTTTCTAACTTTGTTTATATCGATAGTGGTGGCAAAATCAAAACGTATTTAAGCTGTTAGATCATGGTTAATTTGGAAGTCAACTGCAAAACCTATTTTACCTATTTCAATATGCTCAAAATACCATTTAAAAAATCCCCTTCATTTCTTGAAGAATGCGGATGTTTATTCCGACTTTCTAACCAAACTCTGAAGTTAATAGGATTAGAAGCACAAGTAGGAAAATCCACTCTTCTGTCTCTACTTAAAACGCTTCAGGAGAGATTGAGAATGTTCAGGCACTGAAAAACTACGAATTCTTTATTTCATTATATTTAAATGATTCAAAATGCCTCAAGAGAGAGAGAGAGAGACTTGCACATTCAACTAAAATGAGTGAGGGGGGGGGATTTGTTGGAAATTTCCGAAAGTCTTTTGATCAGAGTATCTAAAGATTTAAAATCCACGAGCCAATACGGGGTCATGATTTTAAAAATTTCGAGTAGATTCGGGTGTTCCTTGGAATATTTTGCTTCGTGTCAAGATCAGAGACGAAGTCTATGCAACATCCAAGTTGGAACTTCAACAATACGCTGTCAATGCGAGTAGTTTAAATACCCCCCACCCCCTCCCCCAATGACCAATTAGGTCGGTGATTAGAGGCGGAGAGGTAAAATTATCCATATAATAGCATTGAAGAATCTAGGGAATTGTGAATTGGCCACCCGTCCGAAGAATTAATTTGACGGTGGCCTCCAATTGAAGGATTCATGTTGTCGCTGAGGCCGCTGGAATGTTGACTTGTCAAGATCTTGTTGAAGGAATGAAAAACGATTTCCTACCTCTAAGACCGGATTAAGTTCAGTATCCTATCAACATTTCCTTCAGCTGTGTTTAAATCTTCTTAGTATAATGGTAAGGACGAGTTCCTTTAGACATCTTTTCCACGTTATTTCAATAATAGGTGCATTGGGAATTAACATCAAAGCAAAGTTGCAGATATTGAAGTGTTTATGCAACAGTTTTACACAGAATTTCCTTTATTACAATACAAGTTTCTAGAAGAATAATATTTTGTTCAAATATGAAACTGTTCGAACTGTTTGAGTTAGAAGTGCCATATTTCAAATTCAAACCGATTCACCAGCTCCACTGGGAAAGATGTATATATGCAATCACAAGAAATGTGGATTATCAACAGACTTGGAGGCTCTTCTCACTACTTAAGCCAACTTAATTAGTCAGAACAAAACTTACTTGCTACTTAAAAAAATAATTCTTTTTTAAAGTCATCCCTTTAGCTTTAAAATAGGATAGATATTAATTTACTTGCTTGGTGTGTATTGGTAGTTTTCACTACACGAACAAGCTCTGACTATATTCAGTAATCTCTATGGCAGATTCTCTTATGTTTGGAAAGGCTTCCAGATTTAGCTATGCTTCCTCAAAGCCAAATTGGTCAAATAACCACGTACTGGCTCTGAACGTTGATTGGTCGTGATGTCACTGCCTTCATCATGCTAAAGTTGTGCTCTCCACACACTATTATTTGGAATTTGCATCGATCCTAACATTATTTAAACCAAAAAACATTGTAGAATACCTTATCTAAATCTCTCTTACAACAAAATTACTATAAAAAGCCTTATACAAAGTTGATGAGACTGTTAATGTGCAATTACTTCAGTAAATATGGATGGGTAGTGGAAACTACATAAATAAGTTTTGACCAAACATTTGCTTCCTTCTCCGGCAAAAATCTCTTCTTAGACATTGGTAGAAAAACAATGCATGGAATGCAGATCATTTGTAATAAGTAAAATCATAACGAAAACCAGGTAGGTAAATGATGGGTTACTAAAAACGCTCGATAATGAGCTACCGCACATTTTCGGACGATCGAGAAAGGAAGGCATATCATCGACAACAAGGAGGGTGAGAAACTTTCGATAGGGATATACGGAGATGGTAGACGAGTAAGACTAGGAGGAGTATCTGAGGTCGAGGAATGGAACGGGCTAGTGAATGTGCACTGACTTTTGAGAGGGATTGAGTAAAAGTGTTAGATAGATGCTTGTTATCAGTGAGTGAAGATGCACCAGGGGAAGGCTGAAGAGAATCGGAGTTCCCTGGGAGTGGAATGAGCATGATTAGGATCTAAAAACAGTAAATAGAAGATAGTAATTGGTAGAAGATTGGCTATTTGATTTCCTTATTGAAGTTTCTTCTTTCGATGTCTGATCCACGATGGACTTTGATTTATCATCGACTGCAAGAACCTTTCAAGTGTTGAATTTCCTTGAAAGTTGGCTTAGGAAAGCTTGTTTTCATTTTATGACTGATGGTTTGAAATATGGTAGAAGGCGATGGAATTTTGTAGAAACGTTCGCAGGTTGATGAGAATAGTCACTGTAGGATTGGTAATTGCATTCTGTACTTTTGGTTAAGCTGGACGGTTTAGAAACTAGAAATGATTCGTATGGATCAGATACTGTTTCTGTCTTGTGTTTAACCATCTTAAAAGCTGGTATTTAGGGCTGCTAAGATGAGAGGTGGGTTGAAGAAAGTGTTTTTCTGCAGAACGAGGAACAACGCTGAATTCAAATTCAGTGAAGTCTCTATTCTAAATATATTATCTACAGCCCAGTTGACTGTCAAAAGCATTCCAAGCATCTTGTATACATGTATGTACGAACACATTCCAAGTTGCCCCACAACCTAGCTTGTCAAACACAAAGACTGAAGAAAGATAAAGAAATCAATTGCAAAAAGTAAAAAAAAGTAATAATATAGAAAACACACGTTGACAGGTTAATCTCAAGTATTTGACCAAGTAAGTTCAGCAATGCATGGGTAGAAATTACTGCCATCATCTTCAGTATCCTCGTCTGCAACCATTTTGCACAACTGGATCTTCTCAAATAGATTATTCTCCACTAGAGTCCGTGTCACAAATGTCTGGAGAATACCTAGCCCACAAAATGACTCCGACTTAAAAGAATCGGTATGAGAGATGGGGGCATTTAATAGGCGAGCTCGTCTTTGGGATCGTAGGCGAGAATTCAGCACAGTCAGATGAAGTTTGACTGGTTCTCCAACACGTCTATAACCACTATGGAGTCCATTGTTGGAAAACATGTCGGCAAGACCATTGGCTAGGGCTTGTAGACGACGGCCCTGTGTGTTTTCGTGAAGCTAAAATGTGGAAATAATTACAGTTGCGATTAGATTATCTTTTGCCTAGTTGTATTCTATTCAGCCAAAAAATGAGTAAAATAGGGAGAAAGTCTACTTTTCCCCCTCTAAACTAAGGAATATCTACAAAAGCAACACATTTCCATTAGTTCGTGAGATAATTAACAACGAGTAACTTTAATAAATACCAGTGGACGGACGATAAAAGTGAATAAAAAGAGCAGGAATGGGCAGTCAGCTCAAATAAGCAGTTAATTATCATTTAAGACAGGTACATAGAGTAGCTCTTTTCAGCCCGAATATCTGATACTTTGTGCTCATTTCCATGGCAATATAATTGCGGGTTTTAAGGCATGAAGAACGCAAAGGTGCATTGCCTTCTAAACTATTTTGAAAGTTTAGAGATATGGAGATTCACGCAAGTACGAAGCTCCATGATATCTTCCATGTAGTCATTTAAAAAAATTACAAACACTTACCTTAAGGAAATAGGATAAAATTTGTTAGAAAATAAACAATTGAACGTTCTCTCTTATCATCTTCGATTCGAAGAATAAATAACAACTAATAAGCTCATAAGAGGGGAAATGGAAAAATACAGTCACCTAAAGGAAAGCCAACACAAAAAATGGTCAAGGATTCAATCAAGACACCAAGAAATTCTTTGGAAATCATTCCTTCACGAAGGAGGCAAGGAATAGATTTGCTTTCCATTTCCACCTTTATGGGACTTTGCGAAATTCGTACCTTAAAGGAAGAATTTAATAATGTAAGCATACCTCCGAAAAGTTTGTAATAACGAGCCGGTCTAATAATAAAGTGCATTTTCAAAATCTCAATTATTAAACATGACCCGTAAAACATAGAGAAGATAACCAAAGCCCAATTTGATTATTGCGAGAATATAATCTCCCTACTCAAAAATTGCCCTAATATAAGACAGATAAAAAATAATTACCAAATGAAGCCTTCAGTTTTGGGAATAAAAACACTCGAACAAAATCAGTCTCTGAAAGTTCGAAACTTAAAAAATCATCGTAACGTACACACATATAGAGAACTTGGACCGATCTTGGATCATCATTCATGACATCGAATCCACGAATGGTAAGACGGAGAGGTGATCGATCAAAAGCCCTTCCTTCAACCGTTTTATCCATGAAAGTAGAGAGCAGTTGAGAAGCCAGCCTAACTTCCCTCTGGTCTGCAAGGAACAATGTTGCAAGAGTGATATGAAGTTTGTGTTCAGATACGAATAAATCGGGTTCTATTCCACGAAAAAATCCCGTCTGGTCGCTTTCAGTGAGTTCCAGAACTTCATTTTTCAACGCTAGGTAATTCTTCTTAATTGTATCGCTAACAGCCGGTAGACAGACAAAGTGAGTGGGTTTCATTTTGGGTCGAGCTTCGGAGACAATCCATGCGATACGACGTGCAACTCTTCGAATATTATTCTCCGATTGTGCTGAGATTTTAATCTCTTCGTGAGTTGATTGAACACCGGGAACATTTAATTTGCAGGAAAACTCCGCTTCCAGTTCCAGAAGTTTGGAATGCTTGGCGCCAATTATGAAAGAATAGAAGATAGGTGGAACGTAGAGATTGGCAACATAACCACCACTCGTAGCCCCAATATTTCCCACAAAATGACAAGTTTCATCGTTAGCGAGGTCGTCCTCAGCGGTCTGTTCACTAGGATCAAAATCTTCAACCAAGTGTCCGACTGGTACCAGGGATGCATTTGAGCTTTTACTAGGATTCTTCCGATAAAGTTTATTGCCCATTTTCACGAGAGGCGGTGACAGTACGTTTTCATTTGTATCTAGGATTATAGACTTCATAATCTACAATAAAGATCTTGTTTATGTACGGAAGCCTAAAACGCTTAATTAGCGCTCTCTAGTCGTGAAGAATAAAAATTAACTTGCCTTACTAATAAGCATTATCAAATTTAAATTCTAATTAAGTGAAAATGTTTAAGGTTTTATGACAAATATTCAACAACATAGAAAGGTAGAAAAATTTGTTGAGATTAATGGTATTTTTAAGTCTCTTAATTATTATCTGAAGTTGGACGCATGATAGTTCATAAAATTTATTCACATTTTCTAAACTCAGTGGCAAAATAATAAAAAAATAATAATAAGAATTTTAAGGTGTTTTGATTGTAGATTTTATTTAGATGGCAGTATTCTTACTTTGGTTTTAGCTTTACTACATTCTTTCAACTTCGTGTGATTTAGTTTTGAAGTGAAAAGCTAGTCTGGTCAGCATTTTGCTGGTCTACCGATTTAATTTTCACAAAATTGTATGTCATTAAGGTAGTAATATGAATCCGTAGTAATTTTACTAAGATTGGAGTCGATGTCTTGCTCAGTTCCGCATAAAAACCCGCAAACGTAAAAATATTGTTGTGAATAATTTGCACTAGTAATGGCATCCCAACAGGGTAATTTAGCACCCATTTTATTCCGCACGATGAAACAGTAAATTGCGTCATCTTTCTTCATGCTAGTAGGGAGGAGGACGTGAAATATATTTACCTCAACGTGACACCCTCTGGGAAACATATGCTCATACGAAAATAGCAATAACTACGCAGTTGACTTCAAACTATTATGAAAAGTCTGAAACGAAACTTTAATAGGAGAAGTCATCCTTTTCAGGGCGAATCACGATTTCTACAAATTCTTCAGTGGAATGCTGGATGGATGTTACAAGACAAGAAGATCCAAATCCAGAAAATCCCGTATACCTATGATATAGACATTCGCAATCATGTAAACCAACCTGACAGACTCAAACAATACCAAATCCAAGATTACATAATATATCTCCTGCCTAAAGACCGGCAAGTAGTAATTGAAATATTAACTGGAGTAAAAGAAGGCCTCACATCACATTGCGAAATCATCAAAATTATGGGAACAATACGTGATCTATCCGAAATAATCTGATCATATGTTTGGAAAGGTCAAAACCACTTCAAAATGTATGCGGTCAATAATCCACCCCAGAATATACTCAACTTCGGCCTTCTGAGTATCTCATCCTAAACTATGGTACTCGGAGACTACAACGTCCATTTCACCAAATGGGGCTATAAGAACCGAAACACATCTGGGAAGGAAATCGTAGACATGCTTAACAGCAGTCCTCTAGAGTTTATTTACAGCGATGAGGATCCTGCTACTTACCTGCACTACAATAGAACCAGGAAAACCTCTGACTTGCTCTTGGTTTCAAGTGGCAAAAATGAGCATACAAACAGCAAAATAATTGACGGTCCTAGTCCTAGTTATAAACTAGTCATTGCTAGTATTACCATCAACAACCCAAAATGCCAACCAAGCTATTATACAACGTCAAGAAGGCTACTGGCCTGAATTCATAAACTACGCAAGTCCCATCAGCTACAACCGCAATCCTGGCATACTGTCCATCAATATCAGCTATCATGGAATTTCAAGAAGGCGGATTGGCCTAGATTCACAAACCTATTAGAGAATGAACTTCACACAAGTCCCCTCAACAACAACCAACATCATGAAAAACTTTGCAACGACAAGATTCACTAACCTTTTAGACAATGAACTTCACACAAGTCTCTAAACTTCAACCAAAATCCTGACAAACTTTGCAATGATAAACAACCAACATCATGAAAAACTTTGCAACGAAATCACAAATATTATGATCAGATGGGCAAAGAAATCTATTCCTTGTGGTAAGGCCAAACACTATAGAGTGTTCTGGTCTAAAAACCTTGTGGAACTCAAAAGAAAGCGAGACACCCTTCATAACACTACTGAACAAATTGGAGAAGCTGAAGACGTACAAAACAGCTGTCATACAAGTCAAACGAACAACCTTCGACAACTTCACCTCAAATACCAACTATCAAAATAATAGCCATCGGACTTTCAAATTCCCAAGTAACCACCAAAACAACAAGAAACAACTCAAGAAAGAACCTGTGGGACACGTCATCGCATGCCTACACGCCAGGAATGGGAGGTGCGACCATACAAACAGTGACCAATCATTAACCTCTGTTTAACCTAATCCACCATCCTGATCATGATTAAGCTCCCTGCGTGTACACTTTATCCACAATGTACTAACTGAATAAACGTGCTCCGTGCTACACGTCTGTTTCCTTCATAGCTGGGCTATGAAACATTGAAGAAGGTAGGAAAAAGATGAGGTGACTACTGTGGAAGTAGTCGAATATGGCATACAGTGGGGTGACGGTAGTTTGGAGTCAGAAGTCAACTGCCCATTGATAGACTTTTTTGCCGTATGAATATACGTTGCCCAGGGTGCACCACGTGGAGGTAAGTCTATCGCACACCCCGTAATTGGACAAGATACTCTAATTCTGACCTCTTAGTGTGGCTTTCTTCCAATTTAAAGCACTCCAACTAAGGAAATGATGCATGCATTGATTTACTAGAACTTTAACTAAATTGTCACCTACTTTACTAAAAAATGCCCCCTTTGCTACAAAGTTTTATTTGATGGCTGAACATTAATCTTGTAGAAACCTCGTAAACATCTAAAACGCAATAGTTTGTCAGTATGAAAACACTTGTCAACTGCGAATATGGTTAACGCTACGTTGCACGAATCTTAATCACGATTGCCTGTGAGACCTCTACTCTCGATCTTGTGTTTGCTCAAAATGTAGCGGATTGCTACTTTATTAAAGCCTGACTGACTCAGAAATCTCTGTGGCAGATTCTCCCACATCTAGCTAGATTCCCAGAACTAGCTAAGCTATAGCCCAGCCATTGAGGAAATAGACGTATAGCACGGAACACGTTTATTCAATATGTATACGGTGAATAGTGTTCACTCGGGGAGCTTAATCATAATCAGCATGGCGGATTGGGTTAAACAAACGGAGACTTCTGATTGAAAACTGGCTGTGCGTTTGTCTGTACAGAGAGTTGTACGGCGCACCTCCCAATCTCGGCGTGCGTGCATGTGATGAAGCGATTACGTATCCCACAAAAACCAAACATTGACACGACTCGCTTTCCGAATAGTTCAGCGGACTCGAGGTCCTTTTGGGCAGCCTTGATAGTGCCTATGCACTATAAGCACTCACCCCCCTCCCATCCTACGCGGACAGGCGTATTAGTTGGTGCAGTTTATATTCAAGTCCAAATTACTTTATTTATTTATTTATATCAAATGGCAGGCATCTTGATAGTTATCATTAGCCCTTTAGTTGACTTCAGGCCTCACAGAGGGGGCGAGGACATTAAAGTGGAAAAAAGTCTGAGGGGGGGGGAGACAGAAGAGTGATTCAAAGATGTAAAAGAGACAGACGCAAAGGTAGAAAAAAGGTGAGGTGAGTACCGCGAAAGTAGTCGAATATGACATACACTGGGGTGATGGTGGTTTGGAGTCAGAAGTCAACTGCCGGTTAATAGACTTTTTTTCCGTATGAGTATACGTTGCCCAGGGTGCACCACGTGGAGGTAAGTCTATCACACACCCCAAATAGGTGCTTGCTCGCACACGCGCACTCGCCACGCCCAACGTGGAGCTCGAACCCACGACCCCGAGATTAAGAGCTAGCAGGGCGTCGGGCCCAAATTACTATCTTGCTTGATTTTATGCTTCCAAGTCTTATAAAATAGATAGCGCATTTAAATCAATTTAGGTCACGATGTAACATGGGCACCGATTAGTCCCTCGTTCGACTATGGCACAGTCGAAAATTGAGATCACAGAAAATCACAATGCGACGAACGCCAATTCTGAAGCATCAATAAAAAGACTATTTGTTTATATTAATTACTTTTCACTGTCTGGGGCCAGATTAACAGCAAGCTACCACACAGCTCCTCACACCACATTACAACACCTATTCAATCTTTTCCTTGGTCTTCTTTGCTCATCCTAAGAGCTCGCATGCCGTATCTGAAACAATTACGAAATTGAGCACTGTTAGTTCATTAAGCCGATCGAAGTAATAAAGTGACACCAACGCCACCTTCAACCTTAGGTCCATTGTTAAAGAACACTCTCATTTACATATAAGTATCTAAATATAGTCATTTGAGCATTCAACGTGCTTGTTTCGCACCCTCAAACAGTTTCTTCTATTTATCGCCCCTCGTCTTCCTACTCAGTAAAGCGATCTCCCAAATAAATAAATAATAAGAAAAGAGCAAAGCTAAACTTAATACGGACAAATTTAAGGAACAATGGGAAAAAACAAGAATCGATACTAACCACACTAAAAAGGCAAAGACTTATAAAACCGAGATGATCATATTTAAAAATAACGCATTAACAGAACAAATGGGACATGCAATTAAACGACTATTCGATAAGTAATGTACCGGCCTGCCGTTTCTGATGGCCTATTGATACGCACTACCTGTCCGGGTTTCAAACCATAATATCTGGCAACAGGATCAGTGGATTGAATTTTTGGCAATTGACTTTCCTTCAGCCGACTAAGAGAGAGCATGCAACAATAAACACGCTTAAGCACTTACTATGCATCCAAAAGTTCCTGCTTTTCCTCAGCCGTCAAAGCAATGTGTTCCGGAACAAGTTTATGTTCGGTAATATTTACCATTAGCTCATGTTCATAGAAACATTCCATTGTGATTTTTTTTGACAGTAATTCCGCAATAGCCTACCACGATTCTATAAAAAATGGAGCATACTTACAGATTTAGCAGCAGGAGTCAAGCCGGCGTTTCGAAGTACAAGAATGGCTTTGGTGCATGAATCATGTTGCATTTGCTCCACAAAAGTACGAATAGTCTTCATGTTTACACGATCTTCATCAGGGAAAAAAACATACAACATATCGGAAGGATCCTCTTCGTGGTTTACAACCAATAGTAATCCTTTTCGAGGTATTGATTCACCCAATGATTCCTTATATTCCTCAAGAGATTGGTCTAATTCCTTTTGCATGACTAAATAGCCTCTGTCAAGGCACATTTTAAGAAGTGTCTTTTTAATTCTCCATAATTTATATACCTCGTCATCCATTGCAAGACAGCAGTGCCTTAGGTCAAGGTGAGATAACAAAATGACTACAAGGTTAAAATGAATTTAAATAGTTAGTTATAAGCAAAATTATTATTTGGGAAAATAATCTTTTAAAACTATTTACATCTAACATCTTGATTAGATTTATAAATAATTATAAATTAAGAAAGCGATCCGCTATTTTAACTTAATATATATAAAATTTTGATCACGCATTTTATGGGCACCATCAAAATTGGATGTTTGTGATGGTAAGTTAAAAATTATGCTAACCTGCAATTCTCAACGAAATCGTATTGTCATATATTTTAGTTTGACTTGTCTATTATTCGATCGATAACGGTTGTACGCATTTCTAAGTTGAACAAAAATTATAACTTATATAATAATTCACATTGGCCAATTAACGTCGACATAATTTTACTTACTTATCTTTCAACTTTTTGCCTCAGAAAACGATGATATTTTATGCAATACGGTTATATTGGGACACGAAAATCCTTGTCGCGGAATACATAAATTTATACGGCTTCCCATATATTTGGGGAATAATTTGAGCATCAATGGTGTCGTGATTTTATTTCCAAACCATTTATTTTCTTGGCTCATTATGCTTTTCTTCCGTAAAAAATTTAATTAACGATTTTTAGCTGCGCGGTTCTCAGAGTCTCGAAAGCACTTTTGTTTGTCGATTGGAATTCTCTCAGATTATCATATTTTTGCGAGTCGAAGTGATCATCCTGATATTGCCATTAGGGTGCTTTGTTACAAAATTCCCAGTCCCAATAATGTCTACAGTCGTTCATTATTGACCTCATTGATAAAGGTGGATTACCTACAGGTATTTCTTCGAAAGGTCTTTAATTTGTAGGACACTAACATAGTAGTAGCACATATTTCTATTTCTTCATGGCCCACAAGAACCCTCAACAAACTCTAGACATAATGCCACTTGTAAATCTCAGCAATCTTACCACCTGGCCTGCTACATTGTGTGTAGATTCACCAAGGAACCTGACAAACTGATTTCGTTTGCACTCTCATCAAACTATCGCAGTGTCCCTCAATATGAATAGGCTTGATAAGCATTCAAAATCTAAACTATAATCAAAACCACTCACACTATGCCCCCATTATCAAGTCCTAACCAACACTTTTTTGAACACAACCAGAAGACAACGCTTGTCTGTCCCTAACATGTGGCATTATTTCTGCACCAAAATTGATGCCTCCAACTCAACCTCTCTTTGATGGAAAAATGCACTTACTCCACACTTTGACTGCGGCGTTGAGGAGCGAGAGGGATTACCAATTGGCATCCACAATTACTTCTCATAAGTTCACCTGAGATTTTATTCCACGATAACTGGGTACCGCCTTACAACTCTATTTTTGTCAAAAGCTAGTCGTTTTCAAAATCACGATGACTGTGAATTTGATTGCGTTAACAACCACCTCCACCTGTGAAGCTTAATTTCATTATAAATTTCCATCTGCATGTTTGGCGATAATCTGTAAACAAGCATTACTTGTCACAGTACTTCTTTTAAGAAGTGATTATTACTTCTACATACTGTGTACAATTCATTAACGATGGAACTCATTTCAACTTTCACAACGATTGTACTGGAGGAATGAAACAAGTTGAAATAATCAGAACCCAACGGTTTGCTGAATCTTTGTCTTATCCCAACACGCCAATAACAACATGATTTACATTAGACTTTTAAGCGCTTTTACCAACCATAAATTCATTTGCCATTGCTTCTGGTTTTGTCGAATAGTTTTTCGTTCGATGAAGGGGTTCAAAATTAGGAACATCACAGCTAACCTGTCACTGATAATTCAAATTATCTCTTTTCAATACATAGCTTATTAAAATGGCAGGGGGGGGGGATTGGAGTGGGGTAATATCTTCCCACCTCCTTGGAAACGCAAATGAAGTGTGTATGAAGGAGGCCGTGAGTAATAATTGCACTGATGTAGAGAGTAATGAGTGTTTTAGTGTCCAAATAAGTTGTAAAGTTTGTTATGGTCGATTAGTGGGCTTAGAGTTAGTTTGCACACACTCTAAAACCACTTAAAACGTGACTCTTTGGCCCACCGATTAAGCATGCGTAAACAAAACTACCAACGGACATTTTAAGGACGAGTCAAATTGCAGAGTTGGATACGTGCAAGGGACGAATAATAGTCTACAATTATCGGTGGATGTTTTTGGTGCCAAAAGTGGCAATATGTATGCATGTGCCCTCTGTAATCCTCCTAAAATCGAACTGCTCATGACACCAAATGCATCATTCTGAAGCAAGTCCACTGCAAACTTTGATGGCAGTACAGAAATTCACAGTGTCGCGAAACAATGTAGGAGAAGTGTTTCAGAGACCGTAATGAATTAGACATCACACTGGAATGAAGAAGGGTACTCGCACAAGTGTTTTGGAATCACTTAACAGAGAGATTGGCAGTCAATATTAGCATATTCTCACATTCGTCGTTTCATCAATCACGATGTTTGGGAATAAGATTGCGCCAACATCACCTTCATCTGTGCAGTTGGATTTCAATTTAATAGTTCTAGCTGCAAGTTTGGCACTGCACTCTTTTTAAGATGTGAGTATTACTACTGCATACTGTGCAATTCATCAATCACTTGAACAATCATAACGGTTGCATTCAGGGGTGTGCGATAGACTTACCTCCACGTGGTGCCCCCTGGGCAACGTATACTCATACGGTAAAAAATTCCATAAACCGGCAGTTGATTTCTCACTTCTAACTACCAAGACCCCACTGTATGTCATATTTGACTACTTCCACAGTACTTACCTCACCTTTTTTTCCATCTTTTCTACCTTCGTCTTTGAAACGCTCTTCTGCTCCCCCTCCCTCTCGACTTTCATTCATTTTGATGTTCCTTCCCTCTGTGATGCCTGAAGTCAACTAAATGGCTAATGATAACCATCAAAAGGCCTGCCATTTGATATAAATAAATAAAACGAAGTGAGTTGAAACAATCATGTGAAAGTGTAAAGTGAAATATCTGGATACAATTCAATTATATGAATTGAAGATCACCACTTCTACGGAACACATCCAACAGTTTTGTGTGATCACAGGGAACAACGACACACAGTTTCTTTTTCTTATCTAAGAACTGCAGAAAATTGAATGATCCATAGATATGACATCACACGAGAATGAAATGGCGCAACATTCGCGAGACATAATGAAGGATGGAACAGCTTTAGGGGGACTGACAGCCAGGAATTATGTATTTTGGGCGAAAAGTGAACAAAAGCTGGGATGTGGGAGTGATGTGAAGAAGTGGTTGAAGGCAGAATTGAGGGGGTAGAATTTATGAAGTGAAATGAGGATGAGAGCTAATGCAATTTCAACAGATTGGTGAAAGGCGACAAGATATCATGACCTACTGAATCGAGCGGCCACGCATTGGCATGACACTTGAAAACACCGACCTGAGCGTGAGATTCACCTCGAAATATCTTGTAAGAAATAGAGATCGTGATCACATAATTCACATCTGGTTTGAGCGTCCCTCCCCATTCCCACCTATCAATACTCGGCCTATTTTGGAGACAGGTGTTAGAATGGGCCTAAAATAAAGCCTATTGCACAGATAAATCGACAATTAACATATTGCTAGGGTGATGCAACTTATAGAGGCTATACCAATCTTCTCCGACTATTGAAACAAGTTGAGTGAGTTGGGTAGGGAGGAGAGTACGAAGTAGCTAAGGAGAGCATAATCCCCTCAAACGTCGAATACTTTCTTGAGGTCTTGAAAGCGAACAGATTGAGATATCCGTTGTGAGTGAAATCACTTATCAGAGAGGTAGATTATTTACATAGCTAATTGTGGCTTTTATACTGATCGATATAATCGAAATCTATGCAAACCTTATTTATTTTTTTTGTCATAATAATATATAATATAATATTATAATATAAGCCTGAATATTATGAAGGCCGAAAGCATGTAGTGGTGTTCAGGCCTCTTCTACGATCACGAGTACTTTCAATTATAACTCCACTTCTACGGCTGCACATTTTCACCTTTCCTCTTCCAACTTACGGTTCACCCACCATTGTCTATCGTAAGGTGGGTGGTAACAAACTGACGATCGTCCAGAACACATCACGGCAGATGATATTGCGTCGAAAGAGTAGACGACGAAAATGAGTACTCAAGTGCTGGAAGAAAAGTGTAATTCTCAAAGCATCGTCACACAAGTGCTTCAACATAGGCTAAGCTGTTGGAAAATTCGGTACCAGAATGCCACACTGAAAGTGAACATTTATTGCGTTTTCGGTTACTAAAATGTGGAAGTATAGGAAGTTCCTTACAGTGATCTGCCTCGGACGCTCAAGCAGGATGTGAATCAAGTGTTTAGTGGGAAAGGGAAATCGATGTCGAGTTATGGATTCTTGTGAAATGTGTGTGTGAGTGGCGTAGAAAAAGTAGAATAGGCCACATTTCATTTAGTCATGGCAATTCCCGTTCGGTATTAACTCAAATGTTAGACAGTGACTTGCTCATATAATCAACATTTCAACTATAAATTAGAGACTACTTGACACCTTGATTTCATGAAGCCCTTATTGAGAAATAAAGGAAGTCTATTGAGGAAGACACCAAACCAATTGACCATTCAGATCAATTAGGAACGTTTGTATATTCACTAAAGATGTTATGAACAATAGTCTTGTCACACTCTAAACCCTTCAAATTTCCCTTCGGAACACACGCCTGGCAATCTGTGAATGAATGGATTTTTATTGATGTAAACAAGTAAAAATATGAAATAATATTAGAGAGAATGACTCATTAGAGTTAACAAAAAGAACAAAGATTTATGCTTTACATTGATTCATGACTTGGATTAAAAGGTGCTATTCGATGGAGCCAGTTTCCTCTGTAGAGCAAACAAGGCGTTGTGTCCGTAGCACCAGTTCTTCCTTCTACTTTCCTCAAGGCCATCAATTTCAACTTTTAGAGCTTTCTTGAATTCCACTAAGCCCTTCGCTGTAGTGTCGAAATTGACCAATTCATGTCTATCCACATCAACACTTAAGTCACCAGGGTAAATGCCATTTCCAAAAATACCGATAATGTTTCCCATCTCCAGCACTTCGCATTCACATGTGCTGGTCCATTTTAAAGTGGTATTCCATGAGGCCAAATGATTGCCGTAACCGAATGCATACATTAGCCCTTCAATAGAACCCTCTTCAGACTTGTTGTACTTCTTGAATACAAAGAATTGTCGATGATGAAGACACAAGGAATTGTTGAGATATTGGCTCATGACTGAGGTCTCGAGATCTCCACAGGTTGGACAAATTGGCTTCTCGTCTGGTGCTTCAGTAGGGAAGGGAGGAGTTGTGGTTGTCAATGATTTCTCAGTTGGATCATCAGTAGGTCCTCCCATAGACGATTCCCAATAGAGTTGGCATGGGTCAAGTTGGAATGGTTGCTCCAATACCTCATTTGGATTATAGTAGTCACGAGCAGTAATCAAACCTGGTTTTGAGTTCTGGACGTACGTTCGTTGGTATAGAGTCACACTGAAGCACCTTTCACCACTTTCCATTCCGCCTTCAAATTCTTTGAGATAAGCAATCACTACCTGCTTTTTAGCATCAAACTCCAGTTTCTGCAGATCTCCATTAAGAGGAATCTTGCTTAACTCACCCACTGCCACGTTCCATCCACTGGGCAGTTGAAGAGTTACTAGAAGCATTCCTGTTGCTTTGGGATTTGGTTGACGAATACAAATAGAGGAGTGGGCTGTCGTGCACAGTGCAGTAGCATTGCTGCCACTTTGGTCAACAGATACATCCACAGAAAAGTTATCATCCACCTTCTTCGATTCTACAACATTGTAGATTGAGGTGAAGTGAGCAGAGACACACACCCGCTTGGACGATTGAATGCTGAGACTGAGTCTACTGATACTGCTCTTATTATGTCTTCCTATTTCAAATGTATTTGAGATGAATTCATTTTCAGGACCGATTTCTAAGCTGAAGTCGACCTCCGACATTTCCTCACTTCTAATTTTCACCCCTGTAGACTCAGTAGGTGTTGGGAAAAGACGAGCAGTTTCAATCAAAGCTCGAACAGCCATCACAGTGTCGTGAGTAGAATAGAAGCCACCCTTCTCATTTTGCTGTTTTGATAGCCACTTTCCCACTGCAATTTGATCGTCATGAGAAATGTTTTCAGGACTCAATGCCAACAGAGCGTAAGCCGTAGTTTCCAGATCTCTCAATCTATCGTAATAGAAGCTGCTGATTTTCTTCTCCCTTTGCTTCTCCGATTCTTGCCACCATTTCATAGATCCACTTACTGTTGATTCTGTCGTCGAGCGTTTCTCTAGGGCATGCATCATTGCCATCAACATTGATTCCCCAGTCACCGACGGGAACTTCTTTGTGGCGTAGAGAACTTTGGCAATCAGTGAAGTTGACCATTCTTCAATGGAGAACGATTCTCCAATTGATTTGATGCATTCGATTGCAGATTGCACACTCCTACTATATTCGGTGCCTTTAACTTCCTTCAGTGCAGTTCCAGCAGAACTGAATGCGGCAAGCACGTGAGAAGTAAGTAGTAGCTTGCTTTCTTCTGAATCTGTGTTTTCCATGAAAGTCATGAATCTATTGCCCGACTCGATAAAACAACCATCATCTTGTTGCTGACTGACAAGGAAGTCGAAAGCCTTACTTAAAACAGGGTGAGCGCTGAGACTTTGTTGCGAGATGATTGACAAGGGCAGGTCGTCGGCCTCACTGAATACCTCAAACACGTATGCTGTTAACCAAGTGCTTCCATTTGCACCGTATCCGGGTCCAAATGTAGAGAAGGCACCATTATTGGGATGTTGATATTTCAGTTCATTATCGAAACCACTGACAATATAACCGGCTGCTTTTCTGGCCAAGGAATTCTGACGAAGTTGGGATGCATTCTGATGACTGAGAAGATACTTGAGCACGTAGACACTTGGTGCAACCTTTGCGAGATTTTGTTCTCCACATCCAGTGGGCATTTGAACCAGAGAGTCGAGATTGGAAAGGGCCCTACTGATTGCACTCCCACCCACAGCCACGTAACTTCGAAGAGAACCCTCCACTATTTCTTTGTCCTCCAAATCGACTTTCACTTCATGCTCGCCTTTTGAGGAATCTACAACACAAACATTGTGAGATGCGAATTAATCAAATCGAACCAGTAATTGGATCGTCATTAAGGTTTCATCACCTACTAACCCTCATCTTCTGTTCAAATTGTAAGACATGGTTATCAAATGCATTCTAAGTAATGGTAATCATTCTACTTGATCTATATCTGATCAATTCAAGTGCAGACTCGGAAGAAAGTGAATTAATGATTCAAGATTTTTTACACTCAAACTTGTAAAGATTCTACCAAACGTAAAATGAGAAACCAGGAATGGATAAAGGGATTACATGAATTACTTCATTTCCATTGTAACAGGTATTAAGTTTTGAATATCAAACTTTTCACCTCCCACTTGTCAAATCGACACATCGACCATGCACACATGAGTGTAGTTAGAATTTATGCGTCTAAACCTTACTGAAGCCGAAAATGTTCTAAAATGAAAATCCCATCTGAATCATCTTAAGAGAAAACGATCACCCACAAGAAGAGAAGGAGAAACGCCCAAAACTTGAATTTTCATTGCATTAGTTTTAAAATCGCACACGCAGGACGTGACCCATCGTAGAAACTTCTAACCGATCACTCAACATTACAAATCGAAATATATATTTATCTGTTAAATGGACATTTTTTCAAGGCAAAATTTGTAACTACAGTACACTTTAATTTGACTTAAAATCACTTACTATGGGGTGAGCAGAAGATGCCGCCAACAGTTAAGCGTTTCTCAACTCCTTCGGCTTCAACACGAATTGAACGTCGAGCAGCGTCAGAAACGGTGAACACCTCCTTGGAAGAATGGACTCCCTCAGCATCACAAATGCCAGTGCCACTTCTAGCTATCGCCGTTGCAGTGAGATTGAGTTGGCCAATACGAAGTGGTCTCATGGGAAGGCGGAAAGTCTCCTTACTTAGTTGGCCAGATTGGGACGAACAGATACAGGCAGAAAATGTGGTTGCACCGACAATTCTCCAGTCCTCTGGATCGGATTGCATGCTCACTTCAACTTCGTAGCAAATGCGATTGCCAGCGTTTTCATTGGGGTGAAGGAAGATGGTAATGGGTAGGTGGAGTGTTTCGCCTCTTCGAGCTACCAATGGTGGTGCGAATTCCACGAAGAAAGGCATTCGGACAGTCAGTGTAGGCTTGGAAACTGGAGCCCAAAGACCGCGATCACCCAAGAGACACACCGCATTTGCTTCCCACGAAGTCAAGCTATCAGGCACTGTGAGCGACTTCTCGAAACTTCCATTTGTCAGCACAGCAGGCTCAAAGAGCCAAATTTCTGGGAAGAAATCACGAAGACGGGGTGTGGAAACAGCATCTTTAGATGTTAATTTCGGAGACGGTGGTTCAACTAAAGAAGACGAACTCCTTAACTGAGGGCCTCCAAAACTAGTTTCGGAATACATAGGACAAACGATAAGAGGTTTGATCAAATCCTTGTTTGATGTAACAAGGGTAAAATCAATTCCAGCTGCACGATATGCGTCCTCTGAGCTCGAAATCCAGTTCGGATCATTGTTTCCTCGGTTGTCTTTAAGAACACCAATTATAGCTTCAAAATCAATGTTTCGCCTTCCCACTGTGTTGAAATTCTTTGTGGCAACATCGATTGTGCTTAACAAACAAGTACCTGTCATCTTATCACCAGTAGAGTATACACGAGTCAGATTCAGAGTCATATTCACCATTTCTCCTGGAGCTGCCACTCTTCTGCTCAATTGGAAACCTGCTCCTCCTCCTTCTCCTCCTCTTCCTCCTTCGATTTGAGAAGCCTTAGCTATTGCTGGTGAGGAGCAGGACTGGATATTCTCGATCTGAAGGTAATCGGTTGCCATCTTTCCTTCAACCAAAACATATGCTACAGCACGCAACTCTGGTCCGAAATCGCTGTCCAGTTGGAGATGAGTCACATGTTTGAACACTGTTCTTCGTGGAGTATTTACAATACTGATACCTGTTACTTCCTCCTTTTCCTCAAGAGACTTGACTACAGTCGTCTCATTCTCTCTTGGTGTGATAATCTCCTCGAAAGTAACAGCAGCTCTATCGCATAGGTAGCCATCAAATCCTTCACGACAGACACAATCCCCACCCTCAATGCAATCACCATTCTTACAGCCCTTTCTGGGAATACAAGCCTCACATGACTCGCCACTCCAACCTGGTTTGCACGCACACCTACTTGGAGCCACACAAATCCCCCCTTTGCCACATTCCTCGTTACAAACAGGAATAAGGCAATTAGGACCAGTCCATCCTTCCTTACAAATTATATCACCATCATTCTTGCATTCGTAATGTCCATAGACATCGTCCCTTGGTTTGCATGTATAGTCAGATTGTAACTCGAGTGTTCTGGAAATATACTGTCCACGTTTGAGGAAATGTAGTATCAGAGTAGTGTTCTCAGGAAGGCGTTCATTCGAGATCACCTGTAATTCTACCTCACCTGGACAAGTGACATTCTTCTTATTCATCACATGAACCTGAATCGCCAAACCTTTTCTTTCATCCCACAGGTTTAGGCGTTTGTTCGCCTGCAATTGCCAATCTGGACGAGGTCTTGGGAGCCAATAGGAACTGGTGTTAATACCACTGACTTTCGCAGACATATTCTCATTTGAATCATTACTTGTTTTAATCTGGTGTACAACTATGGAGGCAGGGTTTTCAAAATCAAAAGGTGGAAGAACAAACTTGTATTCATCTCGTCCATTTTCTACTGCAATAATTCGTTTGAGGTGGACTTTAGATGTGGATCTTGAAGACCAAAATCCAACACAGGGGTTGGTATCTTCTCGAACAATAAGTTCCAATTCCTTTGTAAAATTATTATTATTTCTGTAAATCACCTGTCCCACAACTGGAAAACCGGGTCTGAATGTAGAAAGCATTTTCAATTCCAACTTCGCCTTGGGCCACATTTTGATTCCAACTGCGTTGGAAGCCACAATCGACAGACCCGTCGCCTCTTCAGTCACCTCCACAAAAACGCCCAATTTATCGTCCCAACCTGGCTCTCTTCCTCCAACCAACTTGGCTATGTCTGCTGTGACGTTAGTGCAGGTGGTGTGCTGAAGTACACCATTGAAACGCATACATTGTCGAGTGACCGATCCATAGTTACTCTTGCATTCATTTTTCGGCATCATCTTCTTAGTTTCCTGTTGACGACTAAGTTCTCGCTGACTGCAGATGCAGAGTTGAGCGTCATATACGCCTGCCATGGTTGGTCCGTTTGTGTAAGATGCACAAACACTGAAAGTGACATTCACGTCCTGTGGCTCTATTTCTCTTGGTACTGTGACGTGGGCCTGGAAACGAGGAAGAACATAGTGTCTCACTTGAAACACTACCTCCTCTCTTTCCTCTTGAACACGAGCAACAATCGTCCACCTTCCCTCAGCAGCATCACTAATGAGATTGTATGAGAGGTTGAGAGCTTCAAGGGTTTTCACATTCTTCCATTGTTGCACTGTGTTGTCAAGAGGATCCTTCATCTCGATTGAGTCAAAGTATGGAACTTCTGTACGTCTCTTCTGTACTTCAGGTTCCAATTTTTCTACGTTCTTCTCCTCCCAATATTCACCTTGTGCTCGATAACTTGGCCATGTAGGGGATTCCGATGAAGGCAAAATAGTTTGTCTTGTAAGAGCAAGGAAACGCATTTTAACAGTCTCTCCAGGACGATAAAGTGGTTTATCTGTTTCCCCAAGTATGTGAACATAATGGCTCACCATTCGTACGTATCGTTGAATACTATTTATGGCAAAGTCTTCAGGACTCTGGCAAGACTCAAGAGGACAATGATAGAAGGTAATATTGAGTCCAAAATAACTGCCAGATTTGAGTTCAATAGGTACGTAATACTTCAAATCGTAGACATATCCGTTCTCACCTCCAGTTCCATTGGCCTCAAGTGGTTGAAACACCCTCAATCCAATATCGTTTGACAAGAGATTGTGAGAAGTCATGTTAACTGTCACCTTCTCAATGGGTTTCAGAGAGTGAATAATGAATCGATTTGCACAATCGATAAGCAATTCATTGGGCAGGGAAATGGTGACAGTGTTGTTGGAGTCGAGGGTTTTACGTTTTCTGTCAAGAATGTTATAACTCCTCGCCACTGCACAAAACAACGCTATGAGGAATAGAACAAACACTCGCATTGTGATGGCTAATTTGGCTGTCGTGTGATCGTACTTATATACAATTGTATGGAACACGCTGTATTCCAATTGGCTTAGGAGACAGATGAGTGGGTGTGTTGATTGGCCAAGAAAGTGTAAAACGCTGTTAAATTTCAATCATTGGTCCAATACACCTCAATAATGGCCTTGGTGAACGCAATTCCAGAACTAGAATAAGCATCGCATGTTCAGAGTGTCATGACCAATCACCCACTCTCAGCTCTGAAATGTACCAACTTCAGATCAAGGAACTGTTTCTCTGTAATTGTAAATAGTGGGGAGATAGAAGTTGAGAATAATCTTCAGTTTACATTCCGTTATTGGTTCTCAACTTCACAGAAATGAGTTCGGTGAAGGAGAATTGGAAATTTAACCTCGAGTCACTGGAATACAGCAAGATGTGGAATGTTAATATACTCATGCTCTTGTTCTAAACGGTTGCTGTTACTTGGCCAATTGTAACGAGAATTGGAATGGGATAAAGTACAATTGAACTGCACTTCCCGATGGCCATATTTCGAATCCATTTGATAACAAAAATTATCATAAATTTTAAAATTGGATAAGTAAAGAAGATATGAAAGAAGTAGAGGAAAATGAGGATTGAATTTTCACAGAAATATTTCTACAATCAAACGACATTCACAAAAACTGAGTACTTTTGTGGGTGCAATTACTCCTTCTGACAAGCAGGTTGCTTACTTTGTTAATGGGAGCATTTAACTTGGTGTGTGTAAACGAAATCTTGATGAAAATCGTGTTTTCAACGCAGAAATTGAGTTCATGCACTTTGATGTGAAACTCGAATACTATCGTCCCCTTCCCCCAGCACACTGTCTCACCTTATGATGCAGCTATTACACGAGGTCTGCTCTCATTAGGATCTTGGCACTAACGAATGGTGTTTTCTAAATCAAGTTAAGAATCGGAGCAATTCTTAACAAGGGGTCCTCTTCCTAATTTCAAATGAACCATACTCCCTATCACTGCATATTCTCTGCATGCTCAAATCATTGAAAAGTCATACCTAGTTTTGCACCCAAAACCGAAGGGTAATATCATATGACTGTGGTGGAAAGTGAATATGAATAAACAGAAGTTCTAGACATGTAGGACTAGAAGTTGACATGTCAATATTTAGTCGATATATAGCAAAAGAGTTCGCACAATCACATTTATCAACGTTCACAAACAAAAGGAAAATTGAATGTAATTTGCAGTTGATTCATATGATCTAGTGTTTGTTGCTTTTAATGGTTAACAAGACTGCAAATCGTGCATTTGTGACTGTGAAATCTTTCCCACTCAATCTCTGTTGCTTATTAATGCTTTCTACATTTTGGTTAGGTGCGAAAACGGATATTGTGTGGTCTTATGGCTGGAAATAGAACTTTTGGTTTATGCACAAAATGTAGTTCGAATGTGCTTTCAGTCAGTCAGTCGGTCGGGCCAATCAATAATTACTAATTGCAAAGCCTCGAAATTGGCATCCGAAGTCTACTTGTGACATTTTAGATGGAATGATCGAAAATAATCAAATGTGCGAGTGCTTGTCATTCTTTACACTTGTGTACCTTTATCTTGTCCCAAATTTTAAAGCTACGTTACGTCAGTGAAGTGTTGAATTGAAAAACAATTATTATCGTACAATTTGTGAGCTCAGATTTGTACCAATTTTTACAATATGTGGGATTATCTGCGGGAATTTAGTTATTTAAATGAAAATTCTGAAGAGGAATTGAGCACACGAAGTACACTCGTTTTAGTAACCTACAGTTTGTGCTATCCCCAACACAAAATCACGAATTCTAACAAACGTGCCTTTGACAGTATTTATGAGTGCTGTTTATTTATCTTTTGAAATATAATTTCAAATGTGCCAGTTGACACAATTCCAAAGCAGTGTTAGATTAGTCCGGAGGATTGGATAACACCGAGAATGCTTTAAACAAGACAACACAAAGATACGAAATAGCACTACTCACGGAAAGCATTATGAAGGGGGTTACTTGGGGGCATGTTTGATAGACACTTCACACAGAAATTGGCAATCTAGGAATATGCATTATTATAGCATTGTGTTTAACGACAAGTTTCAGTGACGTTAAGTTGACCAAAGCTGAGGTGAGGGATGCAGGTGGGGAGACAGGAATCACAAACATGGGAGATGGTAGACATTATCGGTAATTTCGGAAATGATATTTACCCTGTTGTATTAATTGTTGATGTAGCTAGACATGAATTGGTCAACTTTGACACTACAGTGAAGGGCTCAGTGGAATTCAAGAAAGCTTTGAAGGTTGAAATTGATGGCCTTTGGGAAAGTAGAATGAAGAACTGGTGCTACAGACACAACGCCTTGATTGCTCTGCAGTCACACTATCGGTCCGTTGATCATACGGTGGTAAGTAATTGCATATGCGTAATTGTTTCAATGCCTTGATGGACATAAGATTGACTCGAACTTTTTCTGACTGATGTGTTCACTCAACAGACAAGATGGGCAATGATTGAACACCCAATCACTTTGTGCCACTATACTGCCAGTCCCATGATCTTGGTGGATTAGTGGATGTAAAAGACTCAATGTCTACGAAAGAAAGTGACCCTTTTTATACTAGGGAGTGACGTTAATTGCACCTGAAGTTATCGTTCTCCTTGTGACCTTAACTTTTGTAGCAGACAGAAAACAGAACCAAAAAGGCAGAAAAGAATTTGGAAAGTGATTAAAACTGAAGTTGTTAAAGAATTTAACAAGTAATAGTTCGACATCTGTCAATGCACTCAGTGGGCAGATCTCGTGAAATTGCTGCATCATTAATTAAGTCAGTGTGTTAGATAGACGTCAGATTTCGAGTTTCTCACCAAAGGTCATGTGGTGAATTGTTGTGTTGAAAACACGCCCTAATCAAGATTTCGATTACATTGACCAAGTGAAACGCCCCCATTAACAAAGTAAACAACTTACTTGTCTGTCAAAGTAACTAGACAAACACGTTATAGATACTGTTAACTTGATTCCACCATCTACAAAGATCTGCGTGGGTGTTATGCGTCGTATTTCGTAATCTGAAATTTCATTATGTATATTCTATTTTATTCGTTCAGATAAAGATAGGTATTCCTTGAACCGCCATTTCGACTACATTGAAAACATCTAATTATGAGACAACTTTTCATCACTTCAACGTTATTTGCTCTTTTCACTGCCTACTAAACAGGTAATGGTCAGAATGAGAAAGACTACTTCGGGGACCTTTTCCTTCACTCCCACTACAGAAGCACCACTTTCATTGACAGACAGAGCGAGAGAGAGAGAGAGGGGGGGAGAGAGTAACCGCCAACTCTAAGCCTGCAAATCGACTATAATAAACCTTTCAAATTAATTGGTTACTAAAATACGTATTACTCTCTACCTCAGCGCAATAATTACTCAAGGCCTCCTTCACACACACAGTCCATTTGCATTTCCAAGGTGGAGAGAAGGTATTAACCCTCCTCCCCGCCCCCCATCAGCCATTTTACTAAGCTTTGTATTGAAAATAATTAGTTTGCATGAGCAGTGAGATGCTTTTAATCTTGTACCTTATATAGCACGAAAAGGAGAAGATCCTGTCGATAAGAACTATTCGACAAAACCAGATACGATGGCATATGAAGTGGCGGTTAGGAAATTCAATTCAACTTCCAATGTAAAGCGTGGTGTTAAAGGAGTGTTGGGACAAGATTAAGATTCTGCAAGCCGTCGTCATCTGTGGTCTTATGAAACCTTTTGAAGTGTTCCGCAATAGCATTGACTTTCAGTTCAGAAAATTGAATTAAATTCAGATGTTTCATTTTACACGTTTTTCCGATTGTTTTAACTAATTTCACACTTTGAATGCAATCGTAGTGGATGTTCGAGTGATTTCCATTGTTAATGAATTGTACATGGTATGCAGAAGCTATAATCTTTTATTACAAGATGTTCTGTGACAAGAGATACCTTTTTACAAATTATTGCCAAACTAGCAGCTTGCGATTTTAAATAGAAATCCAACTACTGAGATGAAGGTGGTTTTTAGCGCAATCATTTTCTCAAAAATCGTGATTTAGAAGACGAGATACATTTGGCACAACTAGAGTTGGAGGGCGTTGCCTAATTAACCTGCCCTATAAATGCAGTGAAACATGATATTATGTGATTGTGGGGAAGAGATGATCTTGAAAAATGCAGCACTAGATAGGTAGGATTAGAAGGTGACATGTAAATATTTAGTCAAAAGTGCAAGCTAGACCCTCACAACCACGTTGTATTTTGCAAACTGTGCTTATGTTTAAAAACGAATATTTAGCGAGTTCAGAACCAAAATTAGCACTTTTGGCTTATAGAAATGAGTAATTTGAATGCTACAATAAATGCGAAGGCCATTTGATAGACAAAATTGCTATCGATCAGGCAGTCGGTCAGTATGTCTTGCGATCAGTAAGTAAGTAGGTAAGTAAGTTCAAATGCCTAATAGTTTCGCTGCAATGTCAAGCCTTACATTAGCGCAAACTTATGCGTTCGATTTGTTGGTCGGTCGACCAGCAAATCCGAATGCTTAATACTTTCTCTGCATTGTTGAGCCGCCAAATATTTCCTAATTGTAACGCCTCGAATTTGGTATCCTAATCCGACTTTTGACATTTGCAAGAGGATGAGGAAGAATAGCTAAATGGACAAATGCTTGTCACTTCTTCCTCTTTAGTGCTTAACTCTTGTCAGCGTTTGCCGCTAAATGGTTTAGTCACTTTACAACGATGGAGTGTTGTGTGCAATGCCAATTATTATTGCATCATCAATGAATTCTCATTTTTTGGCAGCATTTTCCAATAAGTGTGACTATTTGAGTTGATTCGGTAATTTGAATGAGATTTTGTTACTAATTGAAATAATTAATTCAATTCTTTGTAGTAAATTGGAGATGAATTGAGTGCATGTTTGAGCATTTAATTTGGAAACCTCCAGTTTATGCCTTTTCAACACAAACTCGCTAATGCTAGCACTCTCCACTCGATTGGCCTACTACGTGCACTAACTTTTCTCTATCGTCAATCAGCCTAAAAATGTTGAATGGCTATTATTGCGCAATATGCGCTCTAAACACAATTAAACTAATCAATCTCATGCGCGCTCGAACATTCTAGAGTGCGTGTATGTCATGCTGATTGGTTTAGCAAAACGCATGAAGTCATGAGTACAGATACATCTCGACCAATCAATAATCGAGCGTCCATACAGGATAGCTGACAACACAAGTATTCGTATTCCATGTCATACGTCTGTTTCCTCTGTGCCAGTGACGCAGCTTAGTTTGCTTCTGGAGGCATTCCACTTTAGAGCATTTTGACATAGAGAATATCGAGGCTAAGTCAAGACTTATTGATGTAGCATTCCGCAACACAATTTACTTATTTTATTCTAGAAATCATCTGACAATTCCCATTATTCATGCTACTTTTACTTTTACGTACTTCACACATTTCATATCTCCATGATATATTTGCATTTCTTATAAGCACCTATTAACGTTTCTTACCTACATTTTAGGGAGTATTGCCACTGAAATCAAAAATATCGTTTAGCTAGCACTAATACATGTAATTTCATCTTTTACTATCTCGGTTCAAGTGCTGAAACGAGACTCATTTGAATCTATGAGAAGCACAACGTTAGCATGGCTGAAGCTACGAAGCGCTTGTGCGCCCAGCTATGTATAAACGCATGAGCGCTCAAACATTCAGGAACGTATCGGACGCGATAGCAATCACGTCAGGGAGCAAATGAGGTATCGAGTGCAGAGACCTCTCCACCAATCGCTAACCAAATTCATAACGTTTTATCATACCCGAAAGTGTATATAATGACTCAGTTCCATGTCAGTCAATACTCACAACCCAACGGGTAGAGCACGATCGATACATTCGCCTAACATAATAATACCCGAAGAAACGTGTTTCAGGCCATACATCTGTCACCACTATAGCTTTGCAGTAGATTTGTTAATCTTGGAATTCATTCGAGAAAAGATGAATTCACCATGGAGGTTACAGAGCTTAAATCAAGGCTTTTAAGTGTAGCAATTCCCTAATAACCCCACGACGAAAAGTGCACAATTTAAAATTTCAGCTGACTTTAATTTAAATAGTACAAAATCTGTTTGTGAAATGTAGTATTTCTGTTCCATGGCAGTTTGTCAATGATTGAAGTGCCATATTAAGCAGCAAGGCACTTACCAATATGAGCGTCCATTTATATCTGCCAGATTTCTGTTGAAAATCATGTCATCATCCACTAATCCTATTTCCCATCTAACTTTCAAAATGGATTTCAGACTGATGCATCCATTTTAATTGTCCTATAAACGTACCCATTTTAACATTGCCATTGACCCACTCCTATCCTCTGTCTGACAGCCCTTACCAACCAGCTCAGTTTCCTTCTACTTTTTTCAAACAAGCTGCTATCTCCAGTATAATAGGCAATTCTGGTTTTAAGCATTCTTCCGAATTTTAACTTATTTCTTAGTTTTGCATTGTCCTAATTTTCGTTGCACCTTATTTTATCTGCTTCAACTTCGACTCTTGACAATTCAATTCAAATGAATAATTTGGAATTCAGGACGTTCCAACATAGATGTTTAGTTTTAAAGCGGCAAAAAATTTGGTCCATAAAATACGTGTAAAATAATTTCGAATTTGCAATTGTACAAAATGGTAAGTTTACTTTAGGCTGATCTTTACACAACCGAAAATTTATCTTAAAACACTTAAAAGCTTAATCTTGTAAAAATCTCATTATCAGTTGACGTTATATGTCAAATGAAAAATCCAGCAGAGGGTCAATGCGTATGAAAGAGCATTAGCGCCATAAAAGTTCAGTCATAGAATTGGAGTTCAATAACAAATCTTGTGGCGTTGTTTTATCAAATTATTCGGAAAATTCCCAGCAATTTATTGCCAATTTGTTGAATAGTATTCATAATCAGCGGCAATATGTAAATTCGCCAACGTCTAACGCCTATGACGCTGTACAGATTGCATCATCAACTTCTGAAACATTATTGGGATTGAGGGGTAAATTGTTATTTTAAGACAAATAGTTGTAAATGATAGCCATTGAACATTTGACAAAATATTTTCATATAACTTTGAGTTTTATAAAATATCAATATGACCTGAAATTATTACCTTTAACTGCTAAATCCTATATTTAATGGTATATACAGTTCCGATTTTACAAAAATATCACGGCCATTTTCCCTGTATTAATAGTTCTGAATCTGAATGATCTTTCAACAGATGATGGTAATCAATGAGCTGAAATATAACGCAAGCCATTGTTTGATGAATTGACTTCAAAATAAAAGATTGAAATAAATTTTAACGCAGTATACCTGACGAAATCTGACATAAATCAATAAAAAAATTACCTTTCATTCAGTCCAACAGATAAGATTTTCATGCAGTAGCACTTTATGATGACTTCTATTTTTAGTGCAAATATTAATTAACAACAATATTTATTAAATATAAATTCTCTAAAGTCATCCAGAGACTCTCTATTGATTTGTATGAACATGTTTTTGTACAGTGATATAGATCAATGGCATTAAATACACGAATTTAATTGTCTAAAGGTTCATTAATCTGATTTATACACACAAAATATCCTACCTAATTTTCTCACGGCCTGGGTATTTGTTCATGAGTATTCGACTTGATGATATTTCTTTAAATTATTTACTTTCAAAACCCCACATCTGAACTCCTTTGGTAAGTAGGTATATTCATACTTTGTTGATCATTGAGTTAGTAGCTAGGAAATTTAGGTAGAAAGTTATTTTTAGCTCACTTTATTTTTGCATATAAATGAATTTCTATTTTAATATGTTTAGATGGATAGCGACTCAACCTTACCTTGTACTGATGAAGAAGAAGCTAAGTTATGTGAAATACATGACGCAGACACTGAATATGTAAGACAATTTCGGGCTGTGTTTTAGCTCAACTATATTTGCTCGATATAATTATATTTACTTTTCAGGATACGTTATCCACTGCCACTTTCGATAGTGTCGCTTCAACCTCGAGATTAAAAAGACGTGCGTCAATTTCCAAGAGTTCATCTTCAAAGTCAAAACAAGCCCACATTTCTAAAAGAACCCGTCCAGTACGACAAAGTCGTCGACCGGCACGAGTATCTGGAGTCTTTACTGACCCAAGTGGTAGTGATGATTGTGCTGAAAGCGAAGTTCGCCCAAGACAAACTCCAGCCATTCGTACACGAACCCGCACGGGCTACCAAAACGAACAAAGTTCTTTCTGGACGCTTGAGGATGTGATGGCTACGCATCCTGGAAAAGCAGATCCCGAATCTGTGGCTTCAAAAGATACACCCGCTTCTACTCTCACCCCTGAGCAATTAGAGATCCGTCAACGCAGAATTGAGCGCCGAAGGGAAGCTGCAAGGATTAAAGCAGAAAAGGAAATGCAGGAAACAGTTGAGCGACTCCTTAGAGTCAACACTTCCTTTGGCGATGGTGGTTACAGTGGTGGTAAAGGTCGTGGACGTGGTCGTGGTGCGACTGCTAAAATAGTTTCTGATTCCGAAGACTCGAATATGGAAAAGAAGAAGCGAAATTCTCTTCATCCTTCCTTGCCTCTCGATCCTCCCTCTGGATCCATACGCTTCATCTCATCTCAACGCATTCAACCCCACTGCGTTGTCGCCTTCCCGTATGAAGATGAGACTACATCAACACCCTTGGAGCTACTTCAACGATTGCGTAGAGCGCCCTCCCCACCAAAAGTGAAATTGTGTGATCACTGTAAATTGGCCCCAAGGAAGTATGGTTGTCCAAAGACTGGGCGATCCTTGTGTAGTTTACAATGCTTTAAAGCCTGTTGAAGTATTTTTGACCTTTCACTGTCTGTATTTTACTCTAATTGCATTTATTATTATTTCGTAATTGATGTTTGTTGTTTTATGAGGTTTAAAACACCATTGGGCATAGATAATTGGAGTGTAATATTTAGCAATTTAGAAGTTTGGGGATCTTATGGTATTTTACGCATTAGGTTAAAATAGAAAAATGCGCAAACGGAATTCAGTTGAGGTTTGTCGGAATCAAGTAACTGTACTTACATGATGTGCTGATTAACACGCACATCCTTGGCTTGGCAAATTCAGTAGTAAATTTTGGCTGAAAAGGGCTGGAAGAAAGAAGGATCATCATAGAGGCTCCGGACCACCTCCACTCGACACAGGATTTTTGTGCTATCAATTATCACAACGGCCTACCGAACACTTTAAGTTGCTTAATCTTGTCGGTGAGGTAAGAATTACTGCGAATGTCTTATTTCTCAGTGATCGAATGGTCTGTGTGTAACCCTTGAAGGAAATAGTTGATCACATTGGTTAGTTTTGATCTTCAAAAGATATTGTAGAATATTGACGAATTACAGGTCACCCACTTCTACATATATACATCGAATTTCATTTTCTTAATCGGAAGATTTACTTTTTGTTCCCAGTGATAGGATAGTGAGGTTATTTTAAGCAAATCTGGGTTCTGTGACAAACAATCATGGATATGATTTGGACAAACTTCAGAATCTCTGGATGAAAAACGATGTTTTTCTTCTTCACTTGGTTTTTGTGCTCTTTGCTTCAATGCCTGGCTCTGACATGTTTTTTATTGAGATTAACGTAACAAAGATAACTAAACCTCAATGGAAGCTCAGAGAGGAAAATCAAATATCAATTGCTAATATATAAACATTAATTACCAAACCCCACTAAATGGGAAAGTTTAAAGCTGTAAAAATTTCTTTGATCTCAGTAATGGCTCATTGGTGGTCTAATTTCACTTCCTTTGATAGATGCTTGAGTATCATAAGTAAAAAATTAATTAAAATTTAATCCTTATTAAAATATAATTCGTAAACATTAAAAAAATTAAATAAGAGCTTTTTCTAGATAATAATACAGGAATAAGTCAGTGAAGATTTAAAAATAATCCTTGTTTAACCCTATCGAAAACATGAGCGCAGTTAGCGAATCGTTGATTTTAAAAGTCGCAAAATGGGTAGGGTGAAGCATGAGAGAAAGATCAGTGACAGAAAATTATGCAGTGATGCATTGGCAAACGCTGTTTCTGTATCTTCAAAGGTATGCACGCGGCTAGTCTTTTATGTGTTGTGTTATTATCTTTTAGCTCTTGGATTCTGCAGATATTTCCGATACAATGTCGAAAAGAATATTCCTCTTTTACCAAAAGAACACGGGAAAACTTATCAAAGAGGCAAAATGTCTTCAATCCCAAAAGAAAGAGCTAATTAGAGAATTAGTATGTTTAATAAATTTTAGCATTTATTCTTAGTTTGCTGCTAATGAGAAATTGGAAAAAGCAGAGGAAGTAAATCGAAAGCTTACTTCTGAAGCTGAGCGTCTTCGCAGGAATTTAGAAACCATTCGTGACGTCTTGAAAGACAGTGACATTGATAAGGTAAAGGAACGGCTTGCTCAACTTGAGGACAATAGTTTTTTGCATACGCCTGTTTCTAATCGAAGCCGTTGTCGAGTTCAACATTCTGCTGGCTCTTTGCTTGATTCGGACAACACATCATCCGGTGGTTCTGATGTTGAGAATCAAGTTCCAAATGAACGTTTATCTGTTCGACGTTCTGCACGACTAAGTAAAGGTGTAGATATTCCATATATCGATAGTCCGAAAACTCCATCCCGCAAACGGCCAACGTTAGATGATGCTGAATTCTATCATGATGTTTCATTTAAAAAGTTGGCGATAGATCAGACTAATATGGAAGATAATGGGCGTGGTTCTGATGATTCTTATTCCGTCAAGTGTCGTTCTAGTGCGTTTCGGACACCCGAACCACCAAAGGTATGATTCAAATGTTGTTAATCTTTGTTCCTTTTAGCAAAAGGTCTTCATTGAAAATCGTCTCACTCGTCTTCATGACTTTCATCCGATTTCGGGTCTTCGTTTGGGAATATGCAGTTGCTGTGGTAAACGATTCGCTTTTGGTAGACCTGCTTTGCGATGTAAAATCTGCAGACTCATAGTCCATGTACAGTGTCAGCATCAGGTTCGTTTATTTTACACTCTCATGAAGCATTCAATATCTAAAATCTAAGACTGTCTTTGTTATTTAAAATCTTGTGATTTTAAGGTCGTACAATTTTGGTAATAACTTGACTTCGGCAGTTATTAATATTTTGCCTAAGTAGCCTAATAGACCTGGATTTTACCACGTACACTAGATTGAATTAATTTTATGTTTGCTTTATTGGAACAAGTATGGATTTGAGATTAAGAAGGTTCGTACTTGGTTTTGGTAAGTTCAAGATGCAGCATTATTTCTTCCCAAAGGTCAATGGTTTGGTATTTTTTGAATTCCTACAATTTTAAAATTTCAAATTCTATTAGGAGAAATGTGACTAAAATTTAGTTACTTACGGAATACCTTGGAGTTGTCATGGTGAGAAACTCGAGATCTATCACACCGTGTTGATCACAATTAACCGGTACGTGTGGTCTCCTACTTAAGTGAAGGGGCGTCGATGTAATGACCTCTGACTCATCAAATGTGTATCTTAATCACTTGCCCATTCAGTTCTCAAACCTGATTTTATTGCTTAGGTAGGCATTTTATCTCTTCAGGTGGTTTTAGTTTGACCAGATATATGGTTAACATGGTGAATGTGTTAAGCTAGCAAGGCTTTACTTCAAAATTAATTTCTACCGTGAAACTGTTTTGAGAGTTTGGTCAAGTGGGCTTGTAGCTACCTCCCTAAAATTCTCGTGATTCTTTTAAACATCAACACCATATCCTAGATTTGAGTTGAAATGCTGTTGTGGCGAGAAGTAAAGGCAGCAATGGGGAAAGCCAAAAATAGTCTGAATGTCTGCCGAAATAAGGTACACTGAAAGGGTTGGTTAGGTGTTTGTGCCATTGTTTGGCAATCAGAATGAGTAGATATAAGCCTATTTCTTTTTGTGCTATATGTTCATGTGAAATAGCTTAATTAAGGTCGAAAATTCAGTTCAGGTAGATGCTTGTATCTTTATTCTTAGCTTTGTAGGTTGATTGAAGCTAAGCGATTTTTTTAAATTATTTAAATCTCTAGGCTATTGAACATCAATTAGGGGGATTTGGACATATCGATTATTGAAAGAAATAGTGACCTGAAGTGTAAAATCGTTCTTGATCAATCCAAAGGTACATGGTCATATGCATCGGTCTTTAATTTTGGAACATAAGTTGTCTATTGTTCAACCATAAATCTGAATCACATGGAGCAATATTAATTCCTTAAAGTTGGTCTTAACCTTTCTAATTCCTTCCGTTTTCTAATAACCAATTGTGGTTGTTTCTCACGATTGGCATTTTTTAATACTATGGGTATAAATTATATCGCGTTCTCCCCTCTTGATCATATTTGATTTTATTTTCCTACAGTTGAAGCAACGATGTGTTCCACCCGCTGATTTACCCCCATTCAACTCGCCAAAGACTCCAAATGGTGCATTTAATTCACCAATGACACCTGTCACACTTCATAGGTTGAGGAGTGGTGGTGGTCCTTCACCCCTAGCCCCAAGTACGCCTTCTTCGACCATAAGACGACAGTTGTACCCTTGGCATACCCTCAGTTTGGATGCACTCTGTCCCGCTAACGAATCACCGCGTATTCCAGCAGCTGTCATCCTTTGTGTTAATGAAGTTGCCTCTCGGGGTTTTATCCAACTGGGTATCTATCGCGTTCCAGGCGGTGAAAAGAAAGTGCAAGGTGTGAAAATCCTGTTTAGTAAATTTAAGCGAATTCTAGTTAAGAATAATATGCAGATGGCCGTTGTTAAAATCGTCTGCATGTATACTGGTGTTGGCAGGTATATAGGCTTGCTACTCATTAACATTTCAAAGTTCATTCCTTCATGAATCTAAGGTTGAAAATCAATGTGGTTAAAACAGTGACAAGAACTCTAACCCGGGATTTCTGGAGAACTAAACAACAATTGTAAATTTTCAACCCATTTTAAAATGTTTTCAATCAAAGTCAGTCTAATAGGGATTGTCTAATCCCTTATTACGATCTTTCCACAACGTTACTGATGGTGTTTGATAATAATCTTCTAAAATGGTAGATTGACTTAGGCTGTCTTATAGTCATGAGGTGTGATGTGTTTGAGTGGTTTCCTCTGAGAAATTCAGCTAGCAAGCTTTCATGGATTGCTTCGAGATACATTCCCGGTTCTTTTATCTTTAGAAAGTTTTTAAGTTATCAGTTTTTAAGGAATAACTTTAAAAATAAAATTTTCACAACGTAATACCTTATTCTAATTAATCAGTGTCTCAGAGAAGTTAAAAGTTTGCGTCCTAGTTAATTTTATTCCTGCTTCAACTTTAGATCTCTTGGACAAATTCCTCTATAGCCGTACAACTCCCAGTCTGGCGCTGGTTGAAGATATCCATGTTGTTTGCTCCTGTTTGAAGGCCTTCCTTCGCTTACTGGATGAGCCGCTAGTTACACTGCGCCTGCGTCCTCAGTTTGTTGCAGCGGGCGAACTTTTCAACACTGATCCGGAAAGGGCCAAGTATCGTGCTGCCGAGTTGATCGAGAGTTTACCGACTGCTAATCGGGACACCCTGGCTTTTTTGTTGCTTCATCTTAAGGTAAGGGTTTTATTTGCTTTATTTCTGACCATTTTGAAGGATGTTGCAAGGTCAAAGCCATGCAAAATGGGTGAGGCGAATTTGGCCAAAGTTTTCGGACTCACTATTGTTGGCCACTCCTCTGTTGAACCGCCATTAGCTCTAGCTTCAAGCGAAATTCAGTCCCAGCAGGCTGTAAGTTGTCCTTAATAGTTATTTAGATCAAATCGATTGCCAATTGATTTTTTCTCTTCTTTTAGACGGTTCGATTGCTAATTGCGGTACCTGACGCCGTTTACTCTACAATTGTGGGTTAATCGTGTTCCTTTCTCAACAATATAATTATTTCTTTCCCCTTTTTTTCCTAATTGTCGGCGTAAATAATCAGCGTTGCTTGACCTATATCTATCGTCTGTAAATTCGAACATTAATTCTTATATTCATAATTGTTGGTCACGGTTCGATTATATTTTTTTATCACTTTGTCTATTAGCGGTAATGCACAGGTTTCGTACTTTCTTATTTACTTTAAAGGCTGTATTAGGCACTAAGTATGTATAGTTTTAACCGTTGCTTTTATCTAGTGTTTGTGAAATTTGATTGTCATACTCCTGAAACCAACGTTTTTTGATCCAATGCTTGTTGTGAATGGCTTACTTTGTCCATAGGAATTCCATGGGTTCATTCAATTAAAACTCGTGTAAAAATCCTTGTACAGGAGTTGTAGATATTCGCTCTCGAGTATGGGGGTTTTTGCTTGAGTTTTCACATTGATGTGAATTGATTGGTCGTGGCAAAATCCCTATGTCTCATTTGCAGAGTTGAAACTAGCTCATTTAGTCTAATGTTTTATTTTATACCTAGTGCCGTGTAGGTTTTTGTGCCCTAAGGCAGGCAGGTAAAGTCAGGTTTCAAAAAATTGACTATTTTAAAGTGACCGACGGTGACATTTGGGATTATCTTTTAGGTGAGGGAAATTGCGGTTGATCATAGCCTTTACCGTCCTTTAGATAGATTTGACTGGAGTTGGTGTTTAGGTTGTATTGGGACGGAGGCGTGTGGGTCATGATAATGAAGTAAGTGGACGCACTAAACCCTAACAAATGGATGACAAATAGCGAGTTTAATGTACGGACCTTGGGATGAGGCTTAAAATAGATAAAACCCGCCGAGTAATTCAGGAGGTCTGATGTGGCATATTCACTAGAGCCTATTGAAGATAAACTGACAGTTGTGTTGATAGGAGTAAGCACCGTGTATTAATCAATCATTAGTAAGGAATATACGCTTGGAACAAGTTCTTTTAAGGCGAAAAGTCACTACAATGGTCTTTCAGGCATTGACTATGTGAGTGCCTGTATAGAAAAGAAATATTTCATAGAACTAGTACACAGTGTAAGGAAACGTATATCAAATGGCAGGCGCTTTGATAGTTATCATTAGCCCTTTAGTTGACTTCAGGCTTCACAGAGGAGAAGGAACATCAAAGTGAAAAAAGTCGAGATGGGGGGGATAGAAAAGTGTTTCAAAGATGTAAAAGAGACAGACACAACAGTAAAAAAAGTTGATGGTAGTTTGAAGTGAGAAGTCAACTGCCGGTTAATAGACTTTTTTGCCGTATGAGTATAAGTTGCCCAGGCTGCACCACGTGGAGGTAAGTCCATCGCACACCCTATGTAAGGAAATGTAATTAGTGGGAGACAGAAAGGATCATGGGTATC